GTATTGGTAGTTACGACCACTGGCTGGATCCGCCCACCCGGGCCGGTGCTATCCCATCCTATATATCTCAAATTTTTGCTTGCTCATGCAACCCAGCTGATTTCTGCGCCTCACCCGCTCTACTCACCATGGCTGCTTCGTGCAGGAAATCCCTGTGTTTTTGCAGATGTGTGCAAGCACGGATAGTGCGTGCGCACATGCTCACATTTTCAGTTCTGCACTAGGCGAACTGGTTGTTACATTATGTGCAGCCCACCTCTGATTGGAAGGGATCTTGGAGGTCTTCTAGTCCAACCGTCTGCTTAAGCAGGAGACCCTATATAATTCCAGACAAATAGTTGTCCAATCTCTTCTTAAGTACGGTACTTCCAGTGAGGGAATACCCACAACTTCTGACAGTGGATAAATTCCACTGAGTAATTGTTCTGTCAGGAAAGTTCTCTTTAGTTCTAGGTTGGGCCTCTCCTTGATAAGTTTCTATCCATTGCTTCTTGTTCTGCCTTCAGGTGCTTTGGAGAGTAGGTGAAAGGAACTACAGGTTAACCTCACTTAGTGATCTTAGTGAGGACAACCTGTAGTTCCTTTCATCTACTCTTCAAAGCATCTAAAGGCACTATTGTAATTTAGTGAACAGTTTGAGGGATGATTCAGCTCTCTGAGCACATTGCCTTTTTGTACTGGGTTTTTTTTTTTGTAAGCATATTATAATGCTGCCCATATATACAATCCATGATGCTCTTTTCTGTAACAAACTGCCATTTCCTTTGAACTTCTTTCCCTCCTTTCCTTTGATAATGAGATTTCCTTCGTTTCTACTTGGCTTTACCACAGTTTGATCCTTTTTGTCTTATCAGGCATCTTTACTGATAAAAAAAATGTCATTTGGTTATTTTTTTTCATAAATTTCTAACTAAAGGGGGCAAGAATGGGAAATCCTGCAGACACTGCCAAACCATAATTCCTAGCAGCCCCTCAGCATGGTCATTGCTGAAGCAGGTTGGCATAATCTCCTGCATGGATTAGCTCCCCCCCAAATTGAGTCACCATTGAAGAGAACCTTAGAAGAGAAAGGTTGCTCTGTCTCTGCTGGTAAGCTATATAATAGTTATTGGTGCTTATTGCTTTGAATAAAACTCCAAAGTGCATTGTGATGCTGTCTTCTGAAACCTTGTTACCTATTCCAATTAACTAATAGGATGTAACTGAACATAAATCCAAAAATGAGATTTTTGGATACAGAAATAACACTTTTGGTTGGAACTACTTGGGTTAACTGAAACAATGTTTTACCTAATGTTGTACAGTTGGTATATTTTTAACCACCGTTGGGTTTAACTACTGAAAATGTGTTTGCAAAGGATCAAATCTTGCTACTATTATAGTAGTCTAGCCCTATACTGTCCACATTAGACAGAGGTTATTCTGGATGTTGTGACTTTATAA